ATCTATCCATGTATCCATTGCTCGGTCGATATTCATGTAAAGCGTGCACTAGTACGAAGCTGGCGTCGGGCTGCTCATGGAATTCCTCATTGGCATCGGGTCGGTCGACGGGCCGCGCCAGACTGAGCTGCAAAAGGTGCTGCGCCCGCTCATCTCGCGCATCGTCCACAAGTACGCCATGCTCCTAACGTCAAGTAAGATCTTACTAACTGTGGTAGGCTGGGCGACTCGAAGGCGCGGCTTCAAGTCGTGAGCGAAGACGCGCTCCTGTTTTTATCGCGGCAGACCCTCATCGGGCCGGAAATGGTCGTCGAGGAGATCCCGTCGTCGGCCGCGACGTCGACAACGCTCCTCGCCAACAAACTCACGCTGCTCGCCAAGCTCATGCTCGAGTTTGGGGTCAAAGACGCCGGCGGCGCGCTCCCACTGCGCCTAGTCTTGCAGCCCGCGGTCACGTCGTGCGAGAACAAGGACCCAGCCGTGCGCCACGCCGCGCTCCAAGTGTTCTCCGAAGCCTTCAAGGTCCCTCCTCCCCTCATCCTCTCGCTCACTCGAGTCGTGTAGGTGGCCCGCCAAGCGACCATGCCATTTCTCAACGGCCTCGCGCGGGGCGCCCGTCAAAAGCTCATTTCCAAGCTCGTTGAAATGGGCGTCCTTGAGAGCGATCTGCTCATGGACGACGTCGACGACTTTGACATTGCCGTCGACCCGATCCGCCCGGGCACATCGGGTCCGCGCCCGCCAACCGCTTCCGGGTCGTCGACCAAGCACCGCCCCGCGCTCTCCAGTGTCTCGCTCTCGGCGCCCGTTGCGAGTACGACGATTTTCGAAGCGCACATAGAGGACGCATCGATGTCGTTATGTGTAGACAATGGGGACGCGGCGTTGCCGTACGGCGCGTCGCTGACGCCCGAACAAGAGACCGAGTGCGCGCGCCTCCTCCCCGTACTCGGCGAAAACGTCGTGCGCTGTCTCGTCGATAAGAACTGGGCCCAGCGCGAGGCCGCTGTCCGTGAGATCGAAAAGACGGTGCTTGCGTCCGTCAAGTCGTCGGACGCCTTGCCGCACGATGCGACGACGCTCCTCGTGTTGTCCGAAGCGCTCGAGCTCCTCTTGAACGATACGGTCGCCCGCGTCTACCAGTGCGCGCTCCGGCTCATGCAAGTGGTGGCCACCGAGTTCTTGCCGCTTGTCCCTGGTGGCGACGTGGTCGTGCGCTCGACGCTGCGCACGGCCATTGACGTCGTGATCCAGAAACTCGGCGACTCGAAGCAGCGCATTCGGTCCGACTCGTTTGCTCTACTGCACACGCTAGCGGGCTTGCCGCATGTTGGCGGCACGATTGTCGGCGGCTTCCTCCTCGACAAGTATGCGCAGTTGCTTGGGTCCTCGCCGGTCGCGATCGCCGAGATCCTCATGCTGCTCACGTCGCTCGTGCGCGAGTCGGCCAAGTCGACGCCGCTCGACGTTGCACCGGTCCTCGCCGTCGTCGTCCCGGCGTTTGAAAACAAGCACGTCGACGTCCGGAACGCCGCCGTCGCCGCGTACACGGCCATCTACGACGTGACCAAGGGCGGCACCGACGTTCGTTTTGGCGCCGTCGACGTCAGCGCGTGTCTCTCAAACCTCAAGGCGACGGTTCGAGAGGCGATCACGCGCAACATTGTGCAACTCAAAAAAGACGCCACGTACGTGTGCCACGTCATATGCCGATGACGTCATCCGGTTGAATGACCAATGGGCGTAGGCCGTTGCAAGCGGGTGGCGCGCCCGAAGTCGAGTCGGCGCGCGGCCACCACGGTGTCGACATGGAAAAGATGGAGGCGTACGTTGGCTGCGACGTCTGCTTGCTGCTCTCGTCGCCATTGAGCAGTAAGCGCAGCCAAGGCGTGCTGCAGCTCCTCGAGTGGCTACCAAAGCGCGGCCACGACGCCAAGCTCAAGGGTATTTGGGAGATCCTCTGTCTCCTCTGCAAGCAGCTGCTCGTCGACAATGCGACGCCGGTGGCGCTTGCCACGTGCCGGCTCCTCGGTCTTGTCATTGACGCGCCGGCGCACGCTGTGTATGCGATTCCGTGGGGCGAGTGGGGCGTCAACTTGATTCTGAGCTCGACGATCCGCAGCATCCTACAGCAGGCGTCGCACCCGGCGGTGCGCGTGCGACACGAGGTCATGGCGCTACTTCGCGCCACCGCCAAGCGCCACGCGGTTGGCCGAAACGTGGTCTCGAACGCGGTCCTGAGCGCGCCGGAAGATCGGCTGTCGCCCACTGCGACACCGCAAGAGAAGCGCAAGAGCCATCTCTGTACCATGTGGCAGCTCTCGCTCCGCCTCGAGCTCATGGACGAGATGCTCCAAGAGACCGCGTCATCGCCGCCAGCGCAAAAGGACATATTGTGCGTCGAGAACGTCGTGCCCTTCCTCGGCTCATCGTGCCTGCCCCACCCGAGCGCCCACGTCCACGACTGCACGCGCACTGTGCTCCAGCTCCTTCAAGCCCACGACGCGGTCGCCTTGTCCAAAGCCATCACCGTCTGCTCCGGCATCCTCCAGCGGAAGCTCCAGACGTTCATCGACGACGAAGCCAGCGCCGACATCAAGAAGGACCCGGTGGTTGTCGTCCGCGGCTCGCGCGCGTCGCACGTCCGGCGCATCGCTGCGCTGCGGCCGCCGCGGTCCGTGCCGCTGGACGACACGAAAGCGCTTGGGAACGTGTGCATTCGGCCGCCCAACTCGGCGCGCGACGGTTCCCTCGCCTACGACGACGACGAGACGGACGACACTGGGTGCAACAATGCGAACGGGCGCATTCCGACCGTCGCCATGGGCGGCAGCGACGCGGTGCCGCTTTGGCTCAGCGACAAGAAGCCACTGCGCGCGGAGGACGAGCCGGCGATGGGCGGCGCGTCCGGGCTTGTCAAGGCCCGTCGGAAAAGCCGCCACGCGAGCAACAACAATCACGACGACGACGGCGACGACGGGTATACCAGCGCGAGTATACGGGCGTCGTACGCAAGGACGAGCGCCTACTGAAGCGACGCCACCGCTGCAGACCTTCCCGACAAATATACAGACAAGCTTACATTGGTTTTACAACAGAATGGTTATATAGTACATGCGTAACACGTCTTTCATGGCGTATTGAAACACAATATGTCTGCAGATGGGCTACCGGTAGCGACGACACCCGGTACAAACCCTAGCCCTCTCTAGAAAGGTCGGCCTGCGAACGACAACGAGCCTCGAGCACCAAGGGTGTTGGCAACTCCACTCCAGTAGGCCCCTGCGACTAGGCCATGGGCTATCGCGATAACGTTGCGTTCATCAGCGGGACAGCACGACCAAGGATCAGGGTCGAACTAGCAACAGTGGAGGTAGTACCCAAGTTCTCATTGCAGCATGCTGCAAACCACCGGCGGCTCGGTTCTCGATGGTGCTCGCGTGTCCAGCTTGCCGCCGACCGCAGAGTGGAGGCCGAGCGCCTCCACATGACGACAAGGCGGTGGCACCACCGGGATGACGTAGGCTTGTCGGCGCCTTTGGCAGCAGCGCCGCCGAGGTTCGGGGTGGTACTGTATAAAGCACACAGAAGGCTCTCGGATACACAATCGCTATTGTCGTCAAAGAGCTATCCAATCCTGCTATCCACATGGGATAGCGAGCTATCCGATATCGTTGTGGGTCATGGTTGTGCTTGCCATGTGCCTGAACGTTTTGAAATTCGGCGTGCGGGATCCTAATTAGGACGAGGCGGTTGGCGACTTTGCTTTTTGGCATTTCGAGTCGGACGAGCAGGACAAGAAGATGGTCGTGGAGGTCCAGCGCAAGCTCACGGTGCTCGGGTACCCGGGCGTCGGCAAGTCGTCGCTGACGACGTGCTTTGTCGAGAACCGGTTCGTGGAGAACTACGACCCGACGATCGAGAACACGTTCCACAAGACGATCCGCTTCAAGAACGCCCACTTTGTCACCGACATTGTCGACACCGCGGGCATGGTAGGACGCACGGTCGCCTCGCCGCCGCTTGATAGCAGCGTAGGACGAGTACTCGCATTTCTCGCAGGCCGCGTCCGTCGGCGTGCACGGCTACATCCTAGTCTACTCGATCACGTCGCGGACGTCGTTTGAGAAGCTCAAGCTCATCAACGAAAAGCTCATCAACATGCTGGGGTCGGAGCCGCCGCGCGTGCTCATTGGGAGCATGTCGGACCTCGACCGCAACCGCCAAGTGTCGACGGACGAGGCGCAGGCCATTGCGCGGGCGTGGGGCTGCCCGTTCACCGAGTGCTCGGCCAAGCAAAACGAAAACATCAGTACGTTCGGCTGCCTCTCTGACACGGCAATGCTGACTATGACGGCTGTAGACGAAGTCTTTACGTACTTGATCAAGGAGATCGAGCGCGACTCGGGGCTCCTTGCCGTCGACGGCGAGCCCAACTGCGTCATCTTGTAGGTTTGTAGGTCTGCGCTTTTTTTCTCAACACCACTGACTGTCCTCGGCTGCGTGTACATGTTGAAAGCTTAGTGTTGCGCCATGCGGCGGAAGAGCGCGTAGAGCGACGCGGTTATGTGCGGGATCACGAGATTCGAACCCAGGGCCGCCTGGAGCTTGGACGAGTCGAGCGCGACATTGGAGCGCGACTGGCACAAAGCGGCTTCGTCGGCCGCCCCAAAGTTGGTGTAGACATACGACTTGTCGATGTACTGGATGTACAAGTCGAGGAGCTCGTTGTGCGAGACGACGCCGGGGTTGGTAAAGTTGAAGACGCCGACGTTCCGCTGCTTGGCGAGCAGCACCACCGCCGGCAAGAGATCGTGCAGCACCGTGATCGAGTTGGGGATGTTGATGACCTCCGCATCTGCCATATAACCTTATAGCTCTATAGCGCAGTAGCGTACCTTGGGGTAGTGGAGTAGCTTGGTAAGGAGGCTTCGTTCGTGCAGGTCGTCCGAGAGCGGCATGCGGAAGCGCAGGACGCATACATTCGGGTACGATCGCAGCATCTACCATCATAGTTCCATCTTGCGAGAGCAGGAACATGCAAAGATGACCTCTTCCAGCATGCCCTTGGTCTTGGCGTAGAACGATCCGGTAAAGTTGCCGCGGTCGTCCTCGGTGAAGAGCTTGTCGCTGTGCATCGGGTGCGCGTCATCGTACGTAAAGATGCAGCCCGAGCCAATGACCGTGCAGTGGATCGGCGTGACGCGGCCGTCCTGCGACGCCTCGTGGCACACGTCGACGACGTTCAAGCAGCCGACCACGTTGGCCCTACATAGCAAACGCATGTGCGCGTAGGTCGAGAGATTTCATTGTGTGCACCGAATCGTCTCGGCTTGGTGCGTCTCGCACCAATCGACGTTGGGCCGGCCAGTGACGCCGGCGGCGTTGATGACATGCGTCGGCGCCAACGTGCGCACTTCGCTACGCTCGCGCTAAGCCAACATCCTTGGCCATCGATAGACGTACGCAGCGACAGCGGCGCGGTCCTCGAGTCGGGCGCGTCCCACGTCGCAGTGGTCGCGTTGGCTCGCGAGGAGTGCCATCAGCTTTTGGCCGATCCAGCCCGTGCCTCCGTACAGGAGGAAGCGGCGCTTTGGCGTCTACGCATACCAGCTGCATCATGCTACGTTCCTATGTCCGTCGTCTACGTGGGCAGTCGTCGGCGTCTCGGTCATCGTAGTGCAATCTCAAAATGGCCTGTATGGACGGCTGGATCGTTGGCCTCTTTGATTGGCTACTGTAATTTTGTCGCCGCTTTGGATTGGCTGGAATGCCTATCAGATTCGCAAGCAGATCGCAATTTCTGCGGTTACGACTCGAGCTAAGATCTGGTTTGACCGCATGCACTGTGGCGACAGAGCCGACGGGAGGCAGCATGCGTCCTCACATTGCGTAGCCAAGACACGCTGCCTGCCTGCTAGAGGCTGTGAAGCCGCCAGGATGACCCAAGAAGTACAGACACAGGATCGTACGACGTTACAATTTAGAAGTTGATCGGCTTGTCGTAGGCCGCGTTACAGGCCTCCTTGAAGGCTTCGCTCAAGGTCGGGTGGGCGTGGCACGTGCGGCCAATGTCTTCAGCCGACGCACCGTACTCGAGGCCGAGGACGCCCTCCGAGATCATTTCGCCGGCGTTGGACGCAATGATGTGGATACCGAGGATCTTGTCGTCGTCCTTGGCGGCGAGGATCTTGACAAAGCCGTCCGTCTCGCCGACCGTGCGGGCGCGCGAGTTGGCCATCATCGGGAACTTACCGACGTTGTAGGCCACGCCGGCAGCCTTGAGCTCCTCCTCCGTCTTGCCGACGGACGCGACTTCGGGGAACGTGTACACGACGCCCGGGATCGCGTTGTAGTTGACGTGGCCGTGGCCGCCGGCGATCGACTCGACGCACGAGATACCTTCCTCCTCGGCCTTGTGCGCAAGCATCGCGCCCTCAATGCAGTCACCGATGGCAAAGATGTTGTCGACGTTCGTCTTGAAGTTGGAGAGGTCGACCTGGATGCGGCCAAACTTGTCCGTCTGGATGCCCATCTCCTCGAGGCCGAGACCCTTGGTGAACGGGCGGCGGCCCGTCGCGACGAGGACCGTGTCGCACTCGATCGTCGTGGCCTCGCCACCGGCGGCGGGCTCGACCGTGAGCGTGACCTTGTCGCCCTCGACCTTGGAGGCCGTGACCTTCTGGCCGAGCTGGAAGTTCATGCCCTGCTTCTTGAGGAGCTTCTGGAATTCGCGGCCCGTCTCAAAGTCCATCGTGGGGCAGATCTTGTCAGCGTACTCGACGACCGTGATCTTGGCGCCGAGGCGGCCGTAGACCGAACCCATTTCAAGGCCAATGACACCGCCACCAATGACGACAAGGTGCTCCGGGATGCGCTTCAACGAGAGCGCGCCCGTCGAGTCGATGATCTTGCCAGCCTCGTTGTCGACCGGGACCGGCGGCAACGGCGTGACCTCGGAACCGGTGGCGATGAGGATGTTCTTGGTCGAGACGGTCTTGTTGCCACCGTCGTTGAGGGCAACGCTGACCTGGTTCTTGGCGACGATCTTGCCAAAACCCTTGATGTAGTCGATCTTGTTCTTCTTGAAGAGGCCCTCGATACCGCCCGTCAAGATCTTGACGCTCTTGTCCTTGGAGGCCATGAGCTTGGCAAAGTCGATGCGAAGGCCGTCAACTTCAATGCCAACGTTCTTGAAGTCGTGCTGGGCCGCATGGTACTTGTGCGTCGCGCTGAGGAGCGCCTTGGACGGGATGCAGCCGACGTTGAGGCAGGTGCCACCGAGCGTGCCACGCGACTCGACGCAGGCCGTCTTGAGACCGAGCTGCGCGGCCTTGATGGCGGCGACGTAGCCGCCGGGACCACCGCCGACGACGACGAGGTCGTAGTCCGAGCCGGTGCTAAAGGCGGCCGCGAACTTGGGGCGCAGGAACTTGCGGGCGCTGGAACGAACGGCGAGCATGCTCTCGTAAATGAACCAAATTACAAAGTGAATTCCCGAGGATTTTTTTTCCTGCCATCGAGAAAATTTGCATGTTTTTGATGCCTTCTTGCCAGTGTTTTTTTGCGCCTAGCTCCCTTTTCATACAAATATCGAGTGTGATGTGGATTTTGTGCATTTTTATGATGGGACGCGCCGTCCAAAATCCGCAATATTATTATGCAAATGGGCACTTCCCTCGCTTTAGCGGCGGCGTCATCGCCTGCCTCTTGCTGACCCCTCCTTGCGCGCTGTCTCAGGGCCCCACGTATTTTATCTCTTTTCAAACTTTTACATACAATGCCCAAGCTTCATTAAAATCAATTCATTAAAATACACGGGGCACGACCACCCTCGATCAAGTGCGGTGGTTGCCTCGCACTTGACTGGGACCTCCGATTCCCCTCCAATTATTGGCCCCGCTGCCCGTGATTGGTCCGAATGTGTTTCCAACAGTGTTTTAAACACGTTTGCGGTCGGCGGCGACATCAGCACGCTTCGCCAGGCACCAAGATGCCACACAGCGACGGTGAGGATGTGACCCGACCTGCCAACGCTGTGCAAGCGGTACCTCTCGCGTTTGGCGTTGGAAGCCGCATTGTAGGCGGCTATACCGGTCCGTGCAACGCGCACCGCGACAAGCGCAATTGCGTTGACGAGGTGGCAGTAGCCACCGCGCCACCGTCGCCGCGTCACGCACCACCATCGTACGATGGGTAGTGTGTCCGACGCATACTGTACCGAGTTCAAGGAACCGTGGGCTGTCCAAGATTCGAGTGTTGATGGCACAAAGCCACGGTGCATCGCATGGTCGAAAGCTTGCTTTGCCACTGGGTGCAATGACATTGGATGGCAGAGGTTATCTGCATCGCCGCGGAGCTACTGCTGTCGTCGACGGTATACTGCGGCCACGCCACGACGTCACGCCTCTCGGCACCTCTGGCGAACCGTGCCGAATGTCCCGCCGCAGCGCTGCGTTTCGTTTTAAACCATTCCACATTGGTGTTGACAACATGTTTTAAACAGCACCAATAGATTGGTTCGGTTGGCGAGTTGAACACATCACACAGCACCGCATCGAGCCATGTCGAGCGACGAGAGCGACTACAGCAGCAGCGACGACGAGACCGAGAAGGCCTTCTTCAAGCCCAAGCCCAAGCAGGTCAAAGAGGCCGTGCTAGCGGCATCAGACTCGGAGGCCAGCGACTCGGACGACGACGACGAGGATGCCACCGCCGTTCAGGACACTGAGAGGTAGTCCCTCCATTTTACGCCATCGTGGCTCACGCCGCCGTAGCGCTGCGCAGGACGACCATGCGAGCGAGCTCAAGCAAGCTGCCAAGGAGAAGACCAAGGCAACGGTGTACGTCGAGGGCATCTCGTACGACGCCGACGAGAGCGCGCTCGTGTCGCACTTTTCGGCCTGCGGCGCAGTCAAGGAAGTGCGCATGCCCCGGTACGCCACACGCTTCTTCGCCTATAGTGCTGATGGAGATGCATTAGGTATCAGGACTCGGGCAAGCCGCGTGGGTACGCGCACATCGTCTTCGACTCGGACAAGGCCGCCAAGAAGGCGCTGGCCATGGACGGCCAGTACATGATGAAGCGGTACTACTCGCATGCGAAGGCGGTCGAGGACTCATGCAGCGTGCATGTAGCTACTTAAGCGTCCGCCCCGCCGAGACGCCTCGCACGCTCGAAGCGGTCATGACCAAGTCCAAGTCGACAAAGGCCATCAAGGGCTGCCGGACGGTCTTTGTCAAGCAGCTGCCGTACGAGATCACGGACGCCGAAGTCAAGGAGGCCTTCGAGTACACACTTCGTGCTAGCCTCGCGCAACTCAAAAACCATTTCTCCATAGGTCCTGCGGCACGATCATTAGCGTGCGTCTGCCCGTGTGGAACCACACGAAAAATTCAAAGGGATTTGGGTACGTTGAGTTTGAGACCGAAGCCGAAGCCGTCGCCGCCACGAAGAAGAGTGGCATGAAGGTGCAGTCCTTTGCTGCCATGTGATCGGTCGCAGCTGACGTGCACGTGTTGTACAGGTTGGCAACCGTATGGTGCTCGTCGAGTTGGACACGGGCGCGCCCAAGGCCAGCTTCCGCACGACGACGGGGCAGTACTGGAACAAGGTGGAGGAAGGCAAGGCGAGCCTTGCCAAGCGCATGTCGGACAAGGGCAAGAAGCGCAACCAAGCGGATGCAGCCAAGCCGACCAAGAAGAAGCTGCGGTTGTAGATATAGAGCACTGGTATGCAAGCTACCCAGATCCAACTTTGAACTCGTGCGTACTCTTCTCTTGCGCAAAGCTACTCGTGCGGGTAGAGATGGCGCTCGTGCATAGCGCGCTTCAAGATGACGCACGGCTCGTCACGAGCGTTTGCAGCCACAAATTCCTCCGTGTCACGTGGCAGCGCAGGTGCGCGGCGATCGGTCCCACACTGCATCGCTCCCAAGTCGCGTCTTGTCTAATCCCACGCGTCTTTATAGCCGGCCACCTCTGTGTCCCCGCCAAGCGTCCACCGAGGCGTGCACACGGGGCTTGGAGCGATGCATACTTGAGGCGTTGAGGTGCGTGCGCCTAGCGCACTGGTGTGGCCTGTCTACACAGTCATGTTGAAGTGTGGGACGCGCCAGTGCTCAGTATGTCGTCGTCGTCCTACTCCATCGCACTTGGTGAGATGCAGACGTGGCGGAGAGCCACGCAGTGCGCCTGGCGCGGTCACCGCCTGCGCATCATGCATGATGAGTCCCTTGTCACGTCCTGGTGCCTGCGGCGAGCGCCGCGAGTAGCCAATCACAAGGTGCGGTGATTCCATTTGCACCAATCGCAGCGCAGGTTGGACAGAAGGACACCAGTTTGGGTTGGCGCTCATTGACGGCGCCTGATTCAGCAGCTGGAGTAGCAATAAAACACAAGGTACACCGGGAGACGACGACGACGACGACGATGCTCCTCCTCCTCTCTACACAAAATGGGTAGTACAGCTGTCACTTTTCAATTTTCCAGCAATGGAGCCGAATCCGAGCCTCTGCAAGTACCCGAACAAGCCGTGCATGAACGCGCGGTCGAGCAAGAAGAACGGGTCGCTGCACAACCTGTGCGAATACCACCGCGAAAAGGCCAACGCGATGCAACAGCTCTACGTGCTCAAGCGCAAGTCGCTCGACCAGCGGTCGCCGTCGACGCGGCCCAAAGACGTGCTGGCATACTGTGAGCTCATTGAGAAGGCCAAGGTCCTCCAGCGCTCGGCGAGCCTCGACCTCGAGCCCATAGCCTTTGCTGCGAACGGCGCAACGGAAGAGCTGCCACCGCTCTCCCAGATCGACTTTGACATTCTCCTTACGTCCATGGAACTCACGGAAGACTCGGCCGAGTTTGAAATGCTCGGGTCGCCGAGTACGTGGTCCTCCCACTAGCCGTCGTCGTCGTCGCTGTCCGTGCCCTTTTTGCTCTATTCGATCTCCACGTTTGCTAATTTATTCCTGCCCACGTCTGACATGTCTCCTGCACTGTGTTGGTCGTGGTGGAGATGAACGACCAAGTTCAAGCTCGAGTGTATGTGGTGACAGTGTATGGACCTCGCGCAGACCCCTACACGTACTAGGAGGTAGCCCCCGCGCCGAGCTTCCCGTCCAGAGCCGAACGAAATGGCGACGACGATATACATTGCATCATGCCACTCTTGAGCACATGTGTTGCGAGATGCGGGAGGGCTGTTTACCAAACGTTCCCTGCACCACTGCGTCTGCTGTTGAGGATGTGCTGCTCGAGTAGCCCACTTGGGAACGACGCAGAGACGACGACTTGGCCGGTTCAACTTCCAGCATGTACAGGGCACCGCCACGCAGTATGATGATGACGCCCCAAGATCGACAAAGCCGCAGCGAACGAGCGTAGGACGGGACGGCGACGCGCCGCCATGCGCACCCATGATCTGCACAAGCTGTCGTGTCATTGACAGACTGTACAGAGAAACGCGCCACGCCGGACTTTGCAGTTGCATACAAACTTCAAGTGTGTTGGCGCCGCGTCTTTATTCGAATGGCTGAACGCACGCATCTTTAGCTGGCATTTTACCCGCACGATCAAGGCCCCCGATGCCCGAGCCTTTTCAACGTCGTGCACGTCGTTGGGAAAACCTATCGACCGATGACATGCCTCGTGGGAGCGACGACGACTGTTACCGGTATGCTCCACGGCGCAGCCGTATGGCGCGTGCTTGCTACTTGCGGCTGCATACCCAAGGCATTAGTAGCTCATCACGAGTGTCCACTACGTCCCGCGGCATGGACTGTCGATGCACTACGGTCTTGAATGCGAGTGCAGTAGAGAGGTGACGCTACAAGGAGACATGCCTCATGGCGCTGCTTGCGCGATCGGGCTGCCTGTTTTATGCGTGCAAATTTTTGTTCGGTGAGGAAGCGCGCGTGCCTGACGGCGCTGTACAGAGGCAGAAGTGCGTGCATTCACCGCGCGCAGACAGACGCATGGACCCAAGTGACGCAGCGCTTACATCATACACCTTCAAGGTCTGCATGTTCCACCTGGTTGCAGTCGGCGGGTGGCTAAGGAGGCGTGAAAAAAGTCGAAGGACGCACTTTAGCGGGATCCACCAAACCCACAGCCAGTGACCGAAAGAAGGATTCCGCGGTCCAGAATGAGCCCGCCGACGAGCGCATGGGTCCGCCACGTGGATGAAGACTCGAACAAGGCGTACTACTTCAACGAGACGACGGGCGAGACGACGTGGGATGAGCCCAAGGACTTTGCGGCGAAAGCTGGCGGCGACGGCGAGAGCGGGAAGAAGCGCAAGGCCGAGGCCATCGAGGACGACGATGGCTGCCTCTGGGTCAAGTACATTGACCCGACGACCCAGAAGCCATACTACTCGGACATGAACTCGGGCAAGACGCAGTGGGAGGCGCCGACGTTCTACACGTCCGACCAAGGCGAAGACGACGACGAAGAAGAGGACGAAAACATCGAGGAAGAGTACGCCTTTGGCGCGATCGCGGATGCGCCCAAGCCGACGCCCGTCGCTGATGAGAAGGCACCCGACTACTACCGGTACATCGACGCGACGTCCAACAAGCCGTACTTCTTCAACGTGCACACCAAGGAAACGACGTGGGAAGAGCCCGTCGACGGTGTGATCAAGGACGGGTCCGCGATTGCGAGCACCGAGGTCGTCTCGGGCAGCGCCAAGTACCAAGAATGGATGAACAAGGCAGCGGCCGCTGCTGCCAACTCGTCGGCGGCCAAGGCGCAGTCGGCGGCGACGGCAACCGCACCGACGACGTCGGCGCCAGTGGCGAGTGCAAACGACCCGGTCAACCGCCTCAACTCGATCCTTGGCAACGTCGGGGCGTCGGGCAACACGGCGCGCTGGCAGCAGCACTACGATACCAACACGCAGCGCTACTACTACCACGACTCGGAGACGGGCACGACGCAGTGGGAGGTCCCGACCGAAGGCGGCATCGCGGCCGGCGTATGTGGTATTACGTTCGCATATGATGTGCACTCACACGCTTGCTGTAGAACGCGGACTGGGTCCCGGTGGATGCGCAAGCGGCGGCGGCGAACGCGTCGATTGCGTCGCGTGTGGGGTATGACTACTCGTCGACGGCCGGCATGAGCCTCGTGAGCGGGCGGTTTGCGAGCGCGGGCCTCGACAACGACTACTGGGCCAAGGCCGGCGTACCGAGCGACAAGGCCGGGCGCCAAATGAGCAACTTCTTCGACATGACGGCCTTTGAGGCCAACCGTGCGGAGGCCAAGCGCATGAAGGAAGCGCTCCAGAAGAAGAACGTCGACTGGAAGAAGGTCAACGCGGAGAAGAAGCGCAAGCGCCACCGCATCCGCAACAAGTGGATGTACGAAGACTAGGCGCTTGTCCCGACACAATCGCTGATATGTAATGCCATTGAATACCACCGCTCCTCCCTTGCAGCTACATGACCAAGCGTTGTTTTGCCTCCATGCTTGTGCTCGTGGCTGACCGTCCATGGAACCATGCATGCTGCTGCGCCAGCATCCGACGCACCGCGTTGCCGGAATCACTTCTGCTCGCTCGTCGTGCCGAGATCATCATCGTCAACGGCGCGCTCTCTGCGCAATGGAGCTCTCTACCACACCGATCGTCTGGCGCTTCCTGAGCGCGCTCGCTCGTCCTCGCCAGACGTCGCGCATGCCACAAGGTACACTGCGATCCGTGCAAAGATCGCGGCCCTGAAGAGCCGGGCTAAAGCCACGTTCGTTGGTCGTTCCATTCGTCGATGGCCACTTGGCCTGCGAGCGAGGAGCCTTTCATGAGGCTCATACGGTCGCTGCCAAGGCGCTGGCATGGCCATAGCCATGGCCATGACCAGGCGAGGTCTGCCTGCGAGCGCGACGACGCCGGCCGCCACGTCGGAAATCTGATGGCGTTCGACGCTGCGAGTAATATAAAATGGCGTATCCTGTGTAACGGCGGTGCAATAATATTCAATAATTTTATTCGCTTGGGAGAGGGCCAGTCGCGGAGATCACGATGGGCGTCCAGAGCCTCCTCCATGTTGCGCTGCTCAAGATGCTCGTGCACTCGCTGCGCTACGGCCACGTCGAGGGCGTGCGCTTGGCCATCGAGAAGGGCGTCAACCTCAAGCACATTGACAAGCGTGGACGCAACCTGCTCATGTACACGGCGCGCATGCGACGTCTCTCATGCCAAGTATGCCTGTAGGCTGGCCATCAAGCAGGACACGGACACGCGCCTGCGCATCTCGGTGATCCTCGCCGACGCTGGCTGCGACATCAACCACACGGACGCCCGCGGCTGGAGCTGCCTGCATTACGCCTGGTACGTCGGTCTGCATATCTCGCGGCTCAGCATGGCGTAGCGCCGGCGGCGCGATCGACGTCGTGCACGAACTGCTCCGCCGAGGCGTGCACGTCGAGTACAACATCTTTGGCTTTGGCGCTTCCGACCTTTCATTCCCGCGGGTCCAAAAGGCGCGCTCTCTCCTCCAGCACACGGAGATGTTGTCGCACGAGACCGCCGTCCGCGTCTGCTGGGGCATCGTCGATAAGCACATGGCCGACCGCGGCTACACGCTCGAGATCCCGGCGCCAACGCACGAGTTCAAAAAGCCGCTCAAGGTCATGTTCCACGCGCCTCCCGACCACAGCCATTTGGACCGGATCCGGGTAGTCGACTTGCAGTCGTCCGTGCCTGTGTGGGAACAGACGTCGCGCACGATCCCCGTGCCGCCAGGTACAACGACGACAACGATGTATGTACCGCTGCAAGCGCCTTGATAGGCCACGTCGGGTGCATCACGCTCGACGCGGAAGTGCTGGATGTGCCATCGATGTACCGTATCTACTACGAGCAGTACCGCCCGACGCCGGTGGCCTTGTCGACAGAAGCGATGCGCGCTCTGGAAGACACACTGTGCGTCAAGGACCTCGACTCTGGCCAAACAGTCTCGGTCAAGAGCGTCAATGACCTCGTCCTGCGCCAGCGGTGCGCTGCCCGACGCCAAGCATTCGACTGATTCCAAGTGACATGTAGAGGCAACAACCAAGCCGTCTCGGACAACCAAGACCCGACCGAAGACTCGCGTGCGCTGGAGCTAAGCACGCTCGAGTCGTGCTCGTCGGCAAGCGACGACTGGGAGACGAGTTCGGTCTCGAGCGAGGTCGTGCCACCGGCGGTCGTCGCGGCCACAGGCGCCCACCGGTTTGCCGCCATGGCCACATTGAGCCTTGTCCGGCTTGAGCCGCCGAAGCCCCAGCGAAAGACCGAGTCGTTGTATGACATTGTGGTGACGACGCCGGGTCAAATTGGCTTGTCTCTGGAAGGCGTCGCTGACGCCAAGGGCCAGCGCGTCAAGATCGTCGTTGTCGCGCTCTCACCGGCGTTCCAGTCGGCGTTTCCAGGCGTCAACGTCGGCGACTGCCTCGTCGGCATCAATAACCACACACACGTCGAGTACGCTGGCATGCAGCACACGCTGTGGGCCCTCACGGACGCGACGCGCCCACTCACGCTTCGCTTTCGCCAAGAGTCCAAGGACCGACCCCGGCTGTTTCGAAGTCTCTACCGGAAACGCTCGTCCGTGTCGTCCGTCTAAGTGTTTACATATCATTTATGGTCTTTTCGGTTGGGATGTTGCGACAACTGACGGGGCAGCGTTGACTGCAGGCTTCTGCCCACGGCGTACCGTCGACTTGCGGCTCTATAGCAGCGGAAACACGAGCTACTATGTACACTACCGTGCGCATCGACGATCTACTAAATGCATGGCACGATTCTCCAGTACCTCAAAGTGCAATGTGGCGAGGACGCGTCATGTTAGCTCCGTGGACGTAAGTAAATTCATCTTGCAGTGGCCCACACGGAACATCAAGAGCATGGCAGCCACTTGGACCTGTTATTGTGACGCGCCTAGTGCTGGTGGTTTATTTTTGTACGAATTTCGTAACAACTCGACAACCTTCGGCGACAAAACACGTTGTTTCACAAATTTCGTGTATACTATGTATGAATTGACACATTGACAAGGGCAAATAATCTTGTGTGTAGGGACTAGGTTGACACAAGACGCACCGGAAACGACGCGGTGCTCGGGGCCAACCAATCGCCTTGCCGTGCGACCGAGAGAGCGACCGTGTCGTCACCGGTCGACGTGGCGGAGGCCACATACAAGATGTCGCGAAGCGCAAGGTTGAGGTCCGGCACCGCGCCTTGCAGCGTCAGCATCTGGCTTGGCACACCGTTGGAGCCGACGACAAACGTGACACGGGTTGCGGTCGTGGCGATGACAATTTGGCCAAAAGATACCGACATCGACACGGTCGCCAGCGCTGTCGACTGGTCGACGTCCACGAGGTAGACGGATTGCGAGCGGGCAAGCGGCACAAATGGCTGCTTGCCGTTCCACACGGAAGCCCACGCCAGTTGCGGACTCCTCCCCGGGTAAAAGAGCGTCGACTGCGCGAGTCCAAATGCCGGTCGCGGCATCGCTTGCAGCGCCGCGTCGTCGATCGCCACCGGTGCCGTGACCCATTTGGTCCCGCCGATCGAACCGTCGGATGCATACAGCGTCCTTTGACCGTCGGCGGTGGTGGCGGCAAAGTACAAAGCCGGCGACACCGACAGCGTGTTGCGAAGGCCCGCCGACGCCACGGTGAAGTACTGCGGCGACGACGACGTTGCCCCAGGTACGAGATCGACGAGCATATTTGCGCTATTGCCGTCCGTGACCCAGAGCTCGGTGCCGTGGACACCGTCGTTGGCTGCGAAATAGACACTAGTGCCAAAACGAGTGAGCATCGACGGCAGGGATCCGGTCGGGCCCAAGTAAATGTCCAGCAGCAGCATCGTGCTCACGCCGTTGGTTTTCCAAAGCTCGGGGCCGTGAACACCGTCGTCGGCTTGGAAGAGAAGCCAGTTGGGCAACGCCACAAGCGACGTCGGTGATGACGCGCAGACGCCGGTGCAGATGTCGTGCACAAGAAGCGCGTTGGTCCCGTCAAACGTCCACAATTCGGCGCCAAAGACGTCCGAGTCGGCGGTAAAGAACAAGGCGCCGCCGTACACGGTGAGACACCGCGGGTGGCTGCTGCGACTCCCCCGTACGATATCAGATACGATCGTTGCTCGCGTGCCGTCAAACGTGTAGAGCTCCGCGCCGAGGTCGGACGTCGACGCCTGGAAGTAGAGCTGACCGTTGTACTCGGTGAGGTACGTAGGGTTGGCGCTGTCCGAACCGATCGCAATGTCCGTGACGCGCGATGTCACGACACCGTCGGTGCGCCAGAGTTCGCGCCCACGCGTCGGTGTCGACGGCGTTGCTACGCATACTATTCCGGCAAAATTGGTCGTCGACGCATCGAATTCAATGCGGAACGAGTCGCGCTGGCCCGCGTGCTTGCAGGCGCCCGTGGTCTACATCACGATATTTTGCATCATTTCCTTCACCGAGAAAACAGTAGGGCGTACCCCCGAGTCGGCAAACCAAAAGCAGTGGCGGGTGCGACCCCCGTAGGTGTACCCGTCCCAGCCGCATTGGTCATAGTACGTCAATGGCTCGGCCAGCGATCCATTCGCACCTTGCGTGCCGACGAAGAGTGCTTGGCCTTGCGCTGTGGTCGCCCACGCATAACCGGTTGGACAGTCGTACACCTATTCCCCACCGGTTGTAGTCGGTTACATGTTGGCATTTGGCGCGTACCGCGGTGGGGTGCCACGTGTTGGCATCGGCGACGACAAAGGCAACGGTCGGTGACACGGAGCTGCGACGGAGGCCTCCGCAGGTGTCAGTGTGCGACGGCGGCAGGCGCCACGACGTGTCGATGCCATCGGCGGCAAAGTAGAGGTTGCCGTCGACCGAGAAGACGACCATTTCGGTGGGGTTGCCGCTCAATGGCCCGGGGTAGAGATCCGCGAGCAGTGTCGTGACCCCACCCGACGTCTGCATGAGCTCGGTGCCGGCGGCTGGCGTCGTCGCCTGAAACACAAGCCGCCCCTGGAACGTCGCAAAGTGCGTGGGGGACACAACCTCTGCGCTCGCCTCGGCACTCCGCCACGTCGTGCTCACGTCGGTAGCATTAGCTTTCGTGTCGGGCTGCACCATGGAGCTTTGAAAGAGCGTGAACGACGGCGGCGGGAGATGCAATGCAGTGATGGTCGTCGGGAGGTAGACGTTGCCGAGACGCGTCGTCGCATTGCGCATCGCCACCGGCGGTTCGTCCGGCACAAGGATCTGCACCGGCGTCGCCACGGCTTGCGTCGTCACCGTAAACGTCGCGCTCGTCATAAGCGTCGTGCCGTCCGAGACGTTGAGCACGATGAGGGACCGTCCGACAAAGTAGGGCGCCGGCGTAAAGGCCACGTCGGCGAGTGCGATGTTGACGTCCTCCACCGTGCCTTGAAAGGAGAGGAGCGCGCTGCCGGTGGCGTGAAACCACATGGTGCGCGGCGCAAGAGGCATAGCGACGCTGCCGCTCGAGCACTGCACCGAAACGATCAATGTCGTTGCGTCGACATCGGTCACACCGATGGGACCCAAGGCGACGACGGTATCCTCGTCGACGACGACAGCAGCGTCCAGCAAACCCGGTGCGACCCAGGAAGGCAGGTCGAGCTGCGGGGCGTCGTTGACGGACGCCACGTTCACCAGTAGCACGATGCTGCTCGATGACGCACAGGCACTGCTGCGGATCGCGAGCGTCACGCGGTCGTACGTGATGCCGCCACCACTGTCAGAGGTCCAGTCAGCAGGAGAAAGGTACATCAGGCCGCGCAGTGCTGCATTCAGGTCGTCGACCGTGCCTGCGATCGTCGCCGTCGAGTAATAGAGATGCCCGACGCCGTCGTTTGTCGATGACGCTGTCACATGCAGGCCTGCGTGCGTCGCCAGTAGGACGCCGCCGACCGCCACCGAGATGGACAGCGTCAAGACGCGATCGACGTCCATGACACTGGCGTCGACGTCCTGAAGACGCAACGCGCCGGAAAGCAACAACGGTGTATCTTCGGGCGTCGAAAAGAGCGCCGGCGGCGTCGATGCCCACGTCGGAGGATCGCACACGGACGTTATGACAACCGCCATCGTCGCCGATGCTTGCTGCGGACCGCCCGTGCCCGTGTTGCCGAGATCATTTGCCGTCACCACGATGCTGTCTTGACCAAAGTAGTTGAGGGCACCGACGTACGTGGCACGCTGGAGCGCATAGTTGATGAGCTCCAACGGCCCTTGGACGTGCAAGAGGCCGGGCTCCTCCTCGAGAATGTCGAGACCGGCGGTGCTCGTGTCAAGCTGAAAGTGCCCATGCTCACACGCTAAGGTCACCTGCACCTCACTGCCAAAGGTGTCGGCAGCGTCATCGTCCGTCACCACAAGGCCGTGCAGCGTGTACGGTGTGTCTTCATCGATCGCAATACTCAGTGCCGGGAGCGTAATGACGGGCGCCGCGTTTCGAATCGACGTGACCCGCACAAAGAGTCGCGTCTGAACGACGTTGGGGCCGCCGGCGCCAGAATTGCCCAAGTCGTCGATCGTCGCGACGACCCGCGGTTGCACCGTCGCCACCTCTGCCCCCGTGTACGCCGCCAAGTCGAGTTCAAACTGCAGCGACGACATCGCGAGGTTGAGCTGCGTCTGGGTGCCCCGCACAACGATATACGAACTCTGGGCCGCGGCACCGACAACAAGCGCAATCGAGGCATGCGGGTTGAGCGTCAACTGCCCAAAGGTGGCTTCCAGTGTCAGCTCGAGTACCTGGTCGAGCGCATCCGGATCGATGAAAGATAGGTGGTCGAGCGCTACACTTTGCTGCAGTACCGACTTGTCGAGCACAAACGTTTGCTCCGAGAGGCTCCATACCGGCGGATTGTTGACGGGGAGCACCGAGATGGCGACGATACGCTGCCCGGGGAGACTGAATGCACCCGGCATGGCCTCGTCGTAGGCTGTCGCGCTCACAGTCAGCTGGTCGGCGCCGTTGTAGTACGTCGCTGGTGCATACACGAGCGTTGCCAGTGCTGCGTTGACTCGGGCGTACGTGCCAACGAGTTGAAGTACCGTCGGCGTTGACGACGTGCGTTGGACACCGATGGTGACACCGACGCTCAAGCCACCGTGCGCGACGCGTAGCGTCGCCGTGACGACGTTGGTTGCAACGGCGTCGACGCACGAGAGCGACAAATTGGCGATGGGCAACACGGCACCTTCCATCGTGTAAAGCAGTGTCGACGGTGCGACCGCCGGTGTCGCGGTCCCAAACGCTACCGTGGGTATTGAGATGCGCACCGTGTCAGGCGCCGGCGCCACGTAGATCGTGACTTGCCAGTACGAATCGAGTCCGCCAACGTCGGTGATGCGCAAATGCAGAGTGTCGTAGCTGTCGCCCACTGCGCTGTTCCAGTGACGCAGTGGGTTGTACGTGAGCGTTGATAGCGCCGCGTTGACCATCGAGAGCGACCCGTTCAGCACGAGCGTCGTGTCGCCATTGCCGGTGCCAGCGACGATGGTGGCGTTGTGTGCCACGGAGATCGCACCGACGTCCAAGGTGAGCGCGACCGAGACGTTGTCGTTGTCCGCGTCGACGGCGTAAAACCCAGGAAGTAAAAGCGCCTCGTCTTCAATCGTGTCGTAGTAGTCGGCACCGAGGACGATGTACGGGACGTCGTTGACCGGTGTGACAACGACGGGCATGGTGGCCGTCGACTCGAGCCCCGAAATCGCGAGCGGTTGAAGAACCGAGACAACAAGAACCATCGCGTCGGTTCCGTAATAGTTGTTCTGGCCTTGGTACGACAATTGGGACAGCGCGCGGTTGACGGAGGGGACATTGCCCGAGAGATGCCACGTGCTCGGTGCCGTCGCTGCTGCCCAGGCGACACCGCTTGTCGGCGGCAGCGATACGGTGCCGTGCGCAACTGAGATCGCTACGAGTACAGTACACTCCTCGCAGTAGCTGCCATCCATGCAAAGACAGTCGACCGCCCGGATCGAGAGACCGGAAACGATGCGTGGCACGTCTTCCGGCACCATCAGAGTCGGTACCGTCGACAGCAACGGGGAGAGGTTGTCGGCCGTGTGTGTGCCTGGTATAGTTGTGGCTTGGGCGACAAGTAGCACGGGCGGGTCGGGCGTTGGCTGAACAAATATGATCGCAGATGCCGTGTCGGTCAGGGCAGTTGCAATGTCCGACCACGTAAACGTTAACATCGCGAGCGGCGGCGCGTCACGCCACGGCGCCGATGCCGTCAACTGCGCTTTGCTGTTCCAGTTGAGCGGCGCGCGGTACACCATTGTCTGAAGTGCCGTATTGAGATGGGACACGGCACCTCGAAGCACCCAATAGCCCGATAACCCAAGCGACCCGTCGTGCAGTACTTGTACGTTCTCGGAGGCATGCAGTCGGACGCTCCCGATGGACGTATTGAGGCTCAGTTGCACCACTGGCTGTGCCGTTGGTGGTGCCGGTGCCACCGACGTGGTTGTCGAGATTAGGGGAAAGACCATCGTACTACCGAGGTTGCCGATTTGAAACGTCGTTGGGTTGATTGCCAGTGCAGTCGTCGTGCTCCAGAGCGGTTTGGTGCCAATCGCCGAGCCGTCCGAGCCGTACCAGAGGCATGTCGATGCCACCGTGGTGGAGCAAAACACAAGCGTTGAGATGGCCGCACCCCCGCGCGTCTGCGTCTGCACCGAGAGATATGACGGACTTGAACTCGTGACACCGGGGGCAATGTCCAATAGCAGCATCGTGCCGCCGGCTGTGCCATCCGACACGTACAGCTCGACACCGGTCGCCGTACTCCCAAGAGCTTGAAAATAGACTTTGGCTTTGTAGCATGTCACGTACTTTGGATCACTGCCGGTGCTGCCCGGAAGCAGATCGGTCACGAGCGCCGCCTGGACGCCGTTGAATGTATAGAGTTCTCGTCCGTGGACGCCGTCGTCGGCCGCAAAAAACAGTTGCGAACCGCACGCTGTCAACCCCGTTGGATGGGACGAGAGCGCGCCGGTGTTAATGTCGGCGGCGACGTTGGTGGCCCATGGACTCGCACCCGAGACCGACGTCACCCAGAGCTCACGGCCGGTCGTCGGCGTCGTCGCTGCAAAGTAGACTTGGCCCGCAAAGCTCGTAAATCCGTCGGGAAACGAGCTACCAATGCCAGGAGAGAGATCTTGGTCGTAGATGGTCGTGCCGTCATAGCGATAGAGCTCCGACCCGGACGCAAGCGTCGACGCCTGGAAGAACAGAAACCGCGAGCTTATCGGTGTCAGCGCGGTGGGGTGCGTCAACGCCGCGTTGACCTTTTGCGTTGTCGTACCGTCGGTTTGCCACAACTGCGACGGCAGTGGCGTCGTTGCCGGTGACGCCATGCACACGATGCCAGCAAATTGTGCTGTTGCCGTCGAGTACTCGACTGGATAGTCGACCCGACGGCCAGCATGCTTCATGCCGCCCGTGGCGCTCGAGTCGGCAAAGCGAAAGGACTTGCGCGTTGCGCCCAGGAACGTATAGCCGTCCCAGCCGCATTCGTTCCAGTAGACATAGTCGACGGCAACCGCCGACGTGTTGAAGACACTGGTCGCATCCGCCGTCATCATCCAGGTGTACCCGATGGGGCAGTCGTACACCCGCGCCGGCGACCACACAGTTGTCTTGGTGACAACGAAAAGCACATTTGGGAACGACGGACTGGACCGCGCTGCGCTGCAGCCGTACGTCGTCACCGGCAGTTGCCACGAGAGGTCGAGACCCGATGCACCAAAGAGCACGAGGCCGTTGAACGTAGCCAGCGACGTCGGCGTCGCACTTTCGTAGCCAGGATAAATGTCCGCGACGAGCCAGGACCGGGTACCGTCCGAGCCAAACAGCTCGCGTCCTGCCACCGGGTCGTCGGCCGCGTAGTAGAGGATGTTACCAAGTGTTGAGAACCACTGTGGGTTACTGCCAGAGCTGGGTACTTGGCTATAACGCCAGTCGTCGCGTTGGCCCCATGCACCACTGGCCGTGTCCGGTCGCAGCACTTCGCTTCGAAACAGAGTCGATGCGGCTGTCGTTGCGTACTGCGCCGGTGTCCACGATTCGACCTCGAGTTGAATGTACCGTAGCGACAGCGATCGATCTTCGACCGCCTTGTAGACACTGGAGCGAACAGCGAGCGATGGCAGCGTCACGACCGGTGTGACCGTAATGGCCAAACGTCGCACGTGCTCGAGGAAGCTCGTGGTGCCGCGCACGATGATCGTTACTGTGGCGACGCCGGTGTACCCCTTGGGCGGCGTGTAGGTCATGGCTTGCAAAGCGCGGTTGCCGTTGGCGATCGGCGCTAAAAACAGTAGCATCGTCGGTGTCGACGTCACGACGATCGTTTGCATCAAGTTCAAGCACTTGGCACTGCCGACCGTCGTTGCAATTTGAAACATCCACGACTGCGCACTGTCGTCGTAGTCTTCGACCCAAGCGCCGGGAAGAAAGAGCATTGTGTCTTGGTCCATTGTCAAAGCGACAGGCGGCAAGGCCCCGGTTGCCACCGCACCTACATACCGTCGTCATGCCCCGTACTCTCACAGGAATTATGTACCGTCGTCCGAGCCGTTGATGTGGATGTACGGAGCGTCGGGGACGGGCCACACGGCGAAGCGAAACACTTGGGGTGGGGCGTCGTCGAGCGCCACCGTCAGTTGTTCGACGCCGTTGAAATGCATCGGCGCTGCGTAGACGACGTTGGACATCACGGACGGTAGGCGCGCAACGGCCGTCGTCACATTCAGTTGCGACGTCGCGTCGCTGTCACGGTAGCGCAGTGTACCCACTTTTGTCGCCAGTGTCAGCGAGACGAGCGAATACGGCGGTCGACACGTCGTCAAGGCCAACGCTTGCAGCGTCAGAGGCATATCCTCGAGCGCGTGGCAGCCGTGAAACGTAACGATCATGTGGCGGCGCGTCGGCGGTCGCACTGTGATTGTTTGAGGCGCCGGCGACGTCCACGACAAGCTCGACACGCCATCGGACGTCGACCAGTAGAGCTCCAGCGTCCCAAACCACGTCGCGTCCGGCGTGTACAACAGTTGACGGAGCATCGGGTTCAAATACCGAGGTCGTCCTTGGAGCATGAGGTCGAGGCCAGCGTGGCGCTGCAGCACCGTGTCCGAACGCGATTGCGTACTTGTATCTGACGCGAGCCGCAGTGTGCCGTAGCTTGCAGCGACGGTTGAACGCACAACGGCCGACGCTCCGAGGCCGGTCAAACCTGTGCCATCGACCACAATCGGCGCTATGTCTGTCTCGAAGAGTGACTCGTGGCAGCGAGCCAAGAAGACGACCGAGAATGTTCGACCAGACTCTAGCCCGACGTCCGAGTCTCGCACAAGCAGGCGGCCCCGCCCGTTGCAAGAGATGGTCGGCAGTTGTCCAAGCGCAGACGCCACGGTACTGGACGACGCATCATATGGAATCGGTGCCGATGTCTCGTTGCGATACGACAGCACGAACGTTCCACCAAGCGCATTGGCCGCCGTCACCGTCGACACGACAACGTCAGCAACCCGTAGCCCGCCCGAGGTCGACACGACGCTCAACGGAGGCAGCGACGCGGGGCTATTGTAGAGGGTAATGGACCACGTGTAGCCGCCGTTAGCCACGGGGCCGGTTCGTTGAATGCGGCAGCCAACACCGGGCAGCATCGTCGCGAGTGCCGCCTGCAGCGACTGCCCTGGGCGACCACCAAGGCTTGTGTCGATGCCTTCGTCGGCGATCATCGCGACGGCGTTGTACTGCACCGGTGTCGACGCTCGCAGTGTGCCGTTGGGAAACGCTACTTGGAGAGAGAAGTCGCCCGTGACACGCGACGCGGAGGAAACGACCGCGATCTGCAGCACGGGGTTGACGTGCTGCGCCGACAGCACCACGTCGTATACATCGGGGGTTCCGTAGCCGTCTTGCAATGACGTTATATGCACTGTTGCCGCGCTGCCATAGATTCGATTGCCGGCGCCCAGAAGCGGTGCAGGCTGCGGTTGCAACTGTGCGGTGTTGGCACTTAGCACTGGGAGATCGTACGCAGCGTCGAGAAACGTGATTGTCCACGCGAACCCGCCGCTCGTGTCGGGTCGTCGCGTTCGTGTGACGGCAACACGGTGCAGCAGCGGATGAGCTTCGAGCGCCAGCTGCATGTCGAGCGCAGAGGCCGACGCAGCAACCGGAGCTGTCGGGATGCCTTGAAACAGGAGCTCGAACGACCCCGCGATGTGCGATAGGAGCGCACTCGGTTGAACGCTCACGCTGATGCTTCCCGTCGTGGCGACCAGAGACATGTCAAACGTCCATAGCTCGGTGGCAACGACCACAAAGGCCACCTTCCAGTGCTGTCGACTTGATGGACCGTACGTGACCTCGATGCGAGCCGGCGCTGGCGTCGGAAGTGCCGCCTTCACTTGCGACTGCATCGAACCGCCAAGTCCTTGGCCAGCAGAAAGCCCGCTGATCTCTTCCATCATCGTTGCAACAGCGGTCGCATCCACTGTGAACGCCGTCTGTCCTTGGAGCCCATCGGGTCTTTGCCACGTCACACGCATCGTGATGGTGCCTGCTGCCGGGGTCGCGACGACGACATCAAACACTTGGTCCTGATGGCCATCAACGGTTGTCTGCACCACCTGAATGGAGGGTGTGAAGCCGACTACTGCCGTTGCCGACACTTGCACCGACGTTGCATCGGTGGACATCGGTGTCACGTCGACACCCTGTAGTAGGCAAGGATCGTTGCCCGCCGCGCACGATTGGTTGCTACTGTCTAGATAGGCAACCGTCGACACAGGGCCAACCCGCTGGCCTCGGCACTCGATCGTGCGGTACGCGATATGGGGGCGAAGTAGCGTGCCGTGGGCGAGATCGTCGACGCGATACTCAATACTTCCACTCGTCGCATTGAGAAGAACCGATCCGAGAAGCAAGTTGGCGTGCTCCAGAGGAGCCTCGAACGTCAAGGCGCGCCATTGACCGGGTCCCAGCATCGTCTCGTTCACCCATCGCACGGTCGGTGGCAGCTGTGCAACGATGCCAAAGCCGCCGTCGACCAATGTTGCAATCGAGCACCGCATCAAGGACGCCCAGCCTTTCGACGACACATCGATGTCGTCAACGCGAACGCCGCACCGCGCCTGTCGCCCGGGTTGTGCTTGGATTCTTGGAGCATGGTTGGTCGGCGCAATCGCGGCCACCACGCTGCACGTCGCGTTCATTGCAGGCGCCATAGGATCGACACTGGCAATGGTTACGGTTAGATTGACCGTGGTTGGCAGCACGCCGGTATAGTTGCTGTGCACCGCCAACTTGCTCAGTGCTGCTTGGACGTGTGGTAGCAAGCCCGAAAAGTGAACCTCTGTCGTCGGAGCAAACGTCGACGCTGAGATGGACGCGGACGTCGGGTCCAACTGCAGGTACACGGGCGACCGTCCAGAAACGGCTACCGTGTACGTGGCGGCGCTGCCACCTTGAAGCAGGAATGTGTCACCAAAGGCTTGCGTCGCGGCTGCGTCGGCAAGAATTGTCTCAGAAAGCGCGGCGCAGACGATGGTCGGTGGTGTATACTGCGGTTGTACCTGCACCACGATATTTGTCGTCGGCAACGCCGTGTCGTTGGAGGAGAGCTGAAGCGAAATGGTATCGGTCGTCGACTGCGCGGGCGCCGTGTACTGCAAAAGCCGAAGCAAAGCATCAAGATCCCGCAACGACTGTGTGAGCTTGATGTACGGAGTCGCACGCGGCTGCGCCGGCACATACAACGTGCCAGCCAGCGCTGTAAGCTCGAGCGTCCACAATTGCAGCCGTGAGCCGCATGCCAATGGAAGAGAGAGACCGTCGATTCCTGTCGTGGCACCGACGGTGACCGCCACGTCAGTGGTGGCAACGGTGATCTGTGGTAAACACGCCACGAGGATATCAATGTCCAGTGCTACGACCACGGAGCCATCGACTACCGAGAGCGACAGTACATCGGTGGTGCTGTGCGATGGAGTGTACTCGAGACTGGCCACAAACACATTGAGTCGTGCGACTGTGCCCTGGACGACGAGCCGTGGCGGCAACACCGACTTCTGGAGCGACGTACCCGGTACGAGTGTATATGTGAGCGTCCCATGGTCCACAGCCAGTGTCAAAGACATGACGTCGGACGTCGAGTCGTTGCGGTCGTCGAGATGCACCGTGCCGTAGGAGGATAGCATGTGCGAGGCAACGATGGCAGCATCGACGCGCCACACCGACGCCGTCGTGTTGACGCGCCACACTGGTGGGTCGTTTACACTTTGAATCCAAACCGAGAGCGTCACGGACGTTGAACCAAGCGCCACCGTGATGACGTCAGGACCGTGGACGTTGGCCGCCGGGCGGTACAGGACCGGCTGCGTTGCCAGCGCGGACGCCACGCAGCTCGGGCGGCCAGTGACACTGTTGCCAGTCACGGTGGCACACCCGGATGGCGCCATTGTGCTCAAATCAAAGGTCCCAGTTGTGCCAGTGAACATCGCGGTGACAGTACCAAAAGCGTCATCGACGTTGGAGACAGTGAAGAACGGCGTGATCGATACCGCACTATCTTCAAGCACAGTGACCTGTGTCGCCGACGCGGTGAGCTCGGGTGGCGTCGGCGCACGTTGCGGAATCTCAAGCGTACTTTGGAGGCAGTTGTGTCGGCTCGGGTCGGCCATGAGTGTTTCGTACTCTTTCACGCACACTGTGACATTGGCAGGTGTCGGCGTTGTCAAGCGAACGACGCAGTCGCGCAAGGCACGGTTCATTGCTTCGAGGGTTCCTTGCAGCGACATGCCGTTGGCGACCGGGCGGAGGCGAATGCCGGGTGCATCGGTGCTTGAAAAATACCCCTTTGACGACTGCAGAGTTAGCACGTAGCTGTTGCTGGCGTAGTCGTTGCCATCCACGTCGTCGATCTGGAGACCACAGAGTGCGCCCGTGGATGACACATGGAGCTTCCCGTTCAGCGTTGGTGGGTCATTTGTCGCCAAGACCGCGACAGGCAGCGTCACCCCAACGCCCGACGTGTCCGTGAACGAGACGCTGTCGTCCCCGTTGTAGTGGGCATTGGACTTGTAGAGCAGCTCGTCGACCCGCGACATTGGTACACGCAGAGATTTGGTCCACTCGGAAGATTCGGTGGTTCCCAGTCGCAGCCACCCTACGCTAGTGCGCACAGCAACGATAGTATCCATGGCGCCACCCGACAGAATGTTTTTGAGCGATACGGTGCCATCTTCGTCGACGACAACGGCAGCCTTTTCCAGAGTCAGCGGTGGTGGCGCATTCGTGTATATGACGGGGAGCACCAGCACCGAGGTGTCGACGTCGGCGGCTCCAGACACCCGAATCGTGACCGAGTCGTTACCGCTGCCAGTTGCTGGTCCTCGGTACAAGAGCGCCGCCAAGAGACTCGTAGCGACCTCTACACGGCAGTAGACACTGGCGGGGGTGTACACACTGGGCGTCGCACCAAACGTCACAGACCCCACTTGCGTCGTCACCTGCAGACGGACAAAGACATCGGTGGTCAACGGTGTGGCATCGACGACCGTGATCACCACAGTCGGCAGTGGCACCGCCTCGACGCCATGTACTACTGTCGTGTTGTTGGCCGGTTCCGCAAGACTCAGTAGAATCGGGTCGGGCACGGCTTCGACCATGAGAGCAACGACGGCACTCGCTTCAATTCCTGAGGTCGATGCCAAGCACGAGATCGGACGCACGCCGATCGTGACGGCGTCGAGACCGGCGTAGTTGGGCAACGGGCGATACACCGTCGACGTTACCATCGCCGATACATTCTGCGCCGATGCTAGAAACGTCAGCGTTGCGCTAGCTTCGTAGCCATAGAAACTTAGTGTCCCGTGGTCCACTGACAGCGTGACGTTGTAGACGGTGCTCGTAGCGCAGCTCGCTCGTGTGTACGGCGATGGGGCAATGCTAAAGCTTGGAAGCGATGCTGCAGTATCTTCGTACAGTCGCAACGTTACGCCTACTCTGTGGGTTCACGCCAATGCATCTACTATAGCTCGTGACGTACGCTCCAAAGAAAGGCTTGGCGGTGCGTCCATGGCTGCCACAACGACCGAGAGCACCGTCGGTACCGTCGTATTGCCAGCGACGACGATCGTCACCGAGTCATTCCCAGCATACGTCGTCGGCGCCTTGTACAAGAGGGACGACAAAGCGAGCGCAAGGGACGAAGCCGTCGCACGTAGCTCCAGCGCTTGATCACCAAACGGAGACCCAGCAATGTATTCGACAAGGTCTCGGTGCGGGGGGTCAACCCACACGATGCCGTGCAGTGTCGTGACGGCGAGATGGACGACGGCGTCGGCGGTGCTGGAGACGAGATGAATGTGGCTCGACAAGGCCAACGAGGTGCCTGGCAGTGTTGTCAAGAGGCTGCCACCGGACGCCACCGTCATGTAGCATACGACAGGAGGTGGCGACAACGTATCAAGCTCATTGCTCGTGGAATCAACGGGTGCTACGTCCAACCGAAGCAGCATCGAGCGCTCGACGGTGTTGGAGGTCGTGGCTGCAACGATCGTGAGGTTGCTGCAGGCGACGACGACTCCAGGGTCGATGGTGGTCATTGTCACTGCGACATGGGGCAGCTGGAGATCGACAAAGCCGAGCGTTGGATCGACTGCGTCTTCGACTGCGCTGTAGGTGATCTGCCAGCTTACGATGCCGGCATCGGTGCTCTTTGTGACAACGACGCTGTCACCGAGTGTGGCAGCAAGCGCCGCTTGCATTCTACTTTCCGTCGTAGGCAACGGAAACGGCGTGCCCAAGAGCAGAAACGCCGGGAGCGAGACATCCATGAGGGCTGCGCGCCCACCGGTGACAGTCACGGTCGGTGGTGGACCCACGGTGGTCGTGAGCGTGCTCGACGCGACCGAGAGAACTGGGAGATCCGCGAGAAACTGCAGCGTACAACTGTTGCCGGTGCACGTGACGGCAGCTGCGAAATGCAGGCGCAACGACGGCTGTGGTACCCACAGCAACGTCAGCGTATTGTTGGACGGAAACCACATGGACGTCGCGACGGTCAACGGGGCCACGGACGCGAGCGACGCATCAAACGTAAAGATGTACTGCAGCGTATACGCGTCCAGAGTGCGCGTCGTCACGACCAGTTTGCCAACAATCGAGGCCATGGACGGCAGTGCCAACAACGCCGCTAGCACGGCACTGGGCGTCGACTGCCCCGAGAGCACTTGGGTCGTGTGTCCGGCGTACTGCAGCGAGAACGCACTCGCCTCGGGCGGCACGGTCGCTACCGGCGCTGGAAATCGCATCTGAAGTGTCTGAATCCGCTGCGTCGGCACTTGCGAGCAGCGTGTCGTCATGGCTTCGATTGCGGTTTCGACGACCGACGCCTCAAACGGATACGCAATGGCGTCGGTTGAGCACTGGCAGCGCGACCGCGGTGTGCACCATGAAGCCTCGACTATATCGTTGACATCAAAGCGGAGGGCCATCGTGCCAGAGACTGCGCCTTGAGGAGCCGACACCGTTAGCGCAACGGGTGGGCTGGTCGTCAGCGCCGCCGAGACGCCAAGCACAACCTTCTCGCGGTATGAAATGACGGCGGGATCGGCTGTCGGCGAGGATCGTTGCAGCTGGAGACGGCGCAGCGCATCGGCAGCAGCAACCAGCGTCCCATTGTACGTCCACGTGTGGGCGTTCCTGTGGAATGGCAGGTCCAGCTGAACGCCAGACGTCACAAGGACCGAAACAGACACATTGTCTGTCAACGCCACGTCGGTGACCACCGACGAGAGCGTGTCGAAGGCCACATAGCGAAGGTCCACACTGGGCACACGCAAACTGCCCGTGAACGGGACAAGAAGCATGTGAGGAAGATCGCTCGCAACTAGGTGGCCCGTAGACGCTGGTGGAACTATGACGTCCAATGACGTCGTGCCCGTCTCTGTCGTTATGACGATTGTATCGACACGATGGTTGTATAGCCCGAGATGTGGCTGGTAGCAAAGGTGCGCTGCGCTAGCCGCAAGACTCAAACTCGGTCCCGTGAGTCGGAGCGGTGGGCGGTAAAACGTGACGACCGACACGGACGTCGCCGTGAGCCCATGTCCGACGACTTGCAGATGGGCAGGCGTCGAGTAGTTTGTTATGTACCACTCGTCCATAAGGACGCTGGGCGCCTTGACGACGGCGGTCGATGAAAACGACGGTAAGCTCTGCAACGCCCGTTGCACGTCGAGTGCCGATGCGCCCACGGGCACCCTGGTCGTTGCCTGGTCGCCTTCAGCAAAGGAAATACTGTCTGGCGGCTCCAAATGTTGAAGCTCGATACGCTGGATGTCCGCGCCGGCGCCAGTGAGACCGCAAGCGGCCATCGGTGTTGGATCACATCCCCGAACAACATCGACGTCGATCGATACGTCGGGGTAGAACGTGATCGCCCAGCAGTAGCCGTTCGGAATCGTTGGACTCGCCGACCGAAATACCGTTGTCTCGCTGCCGAGAAGAGCGCCAAGCGTTCGCTGCAGAGCTTCCGCGTCGGCATGGACCGCCACCGGATGTGTCGTGCGACCACCTGCGCGCACCGCAAAGGTCCCGCCAACAGCGTTCCCGGCAGCGTTGACAACGACGGACGCTTGGACGTTGGCACCGGTGACGGCAGCCACCGAGACGCTCAGTTTGGGTACGATGCCTGCAATCGGGTCAAAGGTGACGACGCACTGGTAGCTGAGTCCGACGGTTGCCGTCACGACCACCGACACGACGCGAGTGAGTGTGTTGAGCAGCAGCAGCACTTGGCTCTGACTTGCGGTGATTGGAATCATGACGGATGCCCCAAGCAGTGAGACTTGGTAGTTGCCGCCCATAGGCACCGTACTCGTCAACTGTAGCGTCTGTTGAGCCGACTGGAGCAGGCATGTGCTACATAGTTGCAGCGCTTGGTACGGCGCGGCTAGAGCGTGGGACCCGTTCTGTACCGTAGCGACGCGCAGCACCGCCGTGATGGGGTCGGGAAACACCAGCGATGGCAAGCGCTCCAGCGTGAGCGGCGGTACATTGCCGATGGCCCCGGATTTTGAGCTCTGAACAACGTTTATCGATGCGTGGACGCCCGAGCCAGAGACATTAGTCGTATCAACTGTGAGTGGCGGTGTTGGGTTGAGCGAGAGAAACGTAACGAGCCACTGCTGCGCGTAACTGGTCGTCGGCAAGGCCGTCACGACCACCTGCTGTGCACCCGAGAGGAGGGCATTGAGCGCACTCTCAACCGTTGTTGCTGACGCCCGCAGCGGCAAGGGATCGGTGGCGCCTCCGTTGTAGCACACTGAGAAGGCACCGTCGAACGCGGCATCGGGGGGCGTCGTCGTGACGTGCAGCTGCGGATCTGCGGTGAGCGTGTACGGATACGTCGGTGTCACACAGTCGGCGCAAGATTGCACGGACCGGCCGTCGTTCCAGAGCACCGCCACCGTCCACGCCGCCGCCGACGTTAAAAACGTGATTTGCCAGTGGGTTTCAGTCGTTGAGACGGCGGTCGATGTCACCCGCACGGCGCCCAGCGCGGGGATGCTGCGAAGTGCAAGCTGAAGATCGGTGGCCGAGGCTTGCCATGCAAGCTGCGTCGATGTCCAGGAGGATATGGCGTTGGTCATTTGAAGCCGGAACGTGCCCATGAATGGTACTTGATCGTTGCGAGATACGACTGTCGCGACCGCATTGCTCCGGTTTCCAGGCTGAAGCAGTGTCGCGGTCGCCTAACCATCGATGAGTACCGTGTCACTACACCATGGAGGCATACCGTCGACCCGACGACCGAAGTGTTGAGCACGACTAGTGGTATCACGGGTCCATGCAGCGACGTATGCGTGATGTCCCACGTGAACTGACCAAGGACGTTGTGCGTCGATGCCGACGGCGTCACGATCACGTCACCGATGGTTGCAAACGCCGCCGTCAGTTGCTGCTGCAGCGCCGATGCGGACGACGTTGTCGCCGTCGGTATGAGCACCAGCGGTGCGGTCGTTGTCGCACCCGCATACGTCCATTGCGCAAAGACCGTCACACTGCCAGTCGGTGGTAGCGGTACGGTCAGCTGGAGTGTCTGGATGGCGGGCTGCACCGTGGCGCTGACGCTCAACTGCACGATGGTTGGTGTACTCAACCAGATGGGTACGACGGTATTGCCGCAGATGGACGCCGTTGCCGACGACGACGACGGCACAAACACATTGGGCAGCGTCGGCATCGCCGAAAGCGCATCGGCAAGCTGCGCCAACGTACTCGACGTCGGTATCGGTGCCGACGTGACACCGCGAAATTTCATCGTAAACGATCCGCCAATCGCATTGCACTGCAGCGCCACCTGCTCGATGACGTTGTCCAGTGCCGGTGTCTTACGAAGTCGCACAACCAGGTGGTGCTCTTGCCCCGGCACCGATTGCACGGCTTGCAGCTCGGGTGTTGTGTGAACCTCGACAGTGGCCAACGACTCGGTCGTCACCGAAACATGCTTTGATCGTGCCGACGAAAGCCGCCACGTCACATCGTACGCGTCACGCGCAAGCGTCATCGTTGTTGCCGTCGCGTCATCGACCAAAGACGCCACCAATTGCGTGAGCCGTGCGTCCGAAATATGAACAGAGATGCCGGTACGGCTGCTCGTGTTGGTGAGTAGCGTCCACGGTGTTGCGAGCGGTTGTCGCCCTAGCCCAGACAGACAACTCATGACGGCGTCTTGCAAATCGGCAGTGCACCTTGGCTCAGCACGCGGTGTTGCAGTTGCAGCGCACCTGTCGTCGGACCAAGTGAGACTTCAAGCGGGGCTCCATTGTAGCTTATCGTCCACGTGCATTGAAGCGTCGGTGCCACGCAGTCGCTCGTCGAAACCTCGGCTGTCGCACCGATCGTATAAAGCGCTTGCTGGACCGCGTATGGGCTCGTGAGCAACGGCAGGGACACGCTGCGTGGCGGGTTCAGCAGCGCCGTCCACTGCCACGTATCTGTCGGCAAGACGGCCTTGCTACCGACGGCAAGCGTCTGCACCGTCATGGACGGAATCCCGGTTTGGCACGTACTGCACAAGTGCGCGCCAGTGCCAGCACGGAACTGCGGGACGACGACGACGCCTGCCAAGCAGTCGACATACGTGTTGGCGACAAAGGTTATGTGCCATGTGAACGACGCGACTTTGGAAACGACGACGGTGCCGATGAAACCTTGGGTAAGCGCCGCCTGAACGTCCGTCGCCAGGGCGTTGAACGGCAGTGGATTGGTCGCGAACGACGCCGACGTGGCGCCGTTGCAGGCCGCGTCGACGCCGACGGAAAGCTCAAACGTACCGCTCTGCACCGTGGCATCCGGAATGGTGACCACCACGACGGGGGGAATCAACGACCCGGCGGTGGCACGTACGATCGTCACGGGGCTGCCGACGCCCGACCACGGCGCCGGAAAGCTCTGCACTGTGGCTTGCAACAGCGGAATCGTCGATCCAGACAAGGACGTGAACGTGATGCTCCACGTGCACCCCCCTTGGGCATCCGGCGGGCTTCGCGATACGGCGATGTCGCCGGCATTGGTCAGCTCGGATTGAAGCGCTTTGGCCACCGCCGTCGCCGAGCCAAACTCGTCGGTGAGGTCGACGACAGCAGACGTCGTCGTGCCAAGGTACGTCAAACTAACAACGACGACGGCTTCGACGATAGTACTCCCGGTGTCCGCGGTTGTTCGGAGCAGCTGCACTTCTTTTGTAAAGGTGGAGGACACGGTGATGCGCTCCTGCGCCACGATACCGGTCGAGTGGAGTGAGACGTCGGTGATGTACCGGTCGTCGCCGATTGCTACGTCGGGCGGCAAGGTGGGGACACCAATGTATCCAAACTGCGAAGCAAACGTAATGGACGAGTGTGTAGCCTGCCCTGCAGTCCCTTGCAGCCCGAGGTGAACAGCGACCGTAGGATCCGTCATGACCAGCGTAGGCGTCGGCGTCGTGACGGTCAGTGCCGGTGTGGGCATCATCGTCGGCGTGATCGACACTGCGATCGAGTACGTTGCCGTCGCACTACTCGAGCTGCCGCAGTTGCCACTGTCAGCGATGCTTAGCGTCCAGGACGCCGACGTCACTTGGGGCGGCACACACAAGGAGAGATCTCGAAGCCAGGCGTTCACGCCCGCCACCGGTCCCTGGACGACGATGGCCGAGACGGTCGTATTGACGCTGTTGTACGACAAGGTTGCCATCGAGAGGGCTTGGAGTTGATGTCGCACCAAGCTCGACGAGGCAAACGCAAGGTATTGCGCGCTGGACGCCGGCACACTCATCGAGAACGTGAGCATACCCGCTCCGTTGGCGACTTCGTCGACGTCTAAGTCTGTTGCTACGATATCTAAAAACGTGCACGACGCCGGTGCCATGTCGACACCCGTTGGTAAAGCCAGGCTCGGAGGATTGTTGACCGCCACAATCGACACGGGGATGGCCACGTAGTTGGACGGATACCGATGGACCAGGTGGCGCACCGTCGACGGCGAGAGAGGGTCGCCACAAGACGCTAGCAGTGCGTCATTGGTGGGCGCGGCAGCCTCGACCGCGAAGAAGTACACTGTCTCGGGCGACTGGTCCCGGTGCACACACGGCGACGATAGACCCGACGACCAGTCAAAGTTGTAGTGGGCATTTGGCGTGTAAACGAGGGTTTTCATAATCGCATTGGCGTTGGAGAGCGTGGTTTCAATGACAAAGGACGTGGGGCTGGCGCACACGGTCCGGGCGCTAACCCAGGCGCTCGCGTCGTTGCTGCCGAGTGTGCCATGCGTACAGGCCACCTACGTGCACGTGGTCATCTTGTGGTCATCATTGCCAGCGACTGCGTACGAGCACGTGCAAGATCGCGTCGCTGGCGACACCGGCGAGTGCGAGGCTCGTGATGTTGAGCGGTGTGTCTTCCAAGGTCGAGAGAAAGGTCCCAGGTGGCAGCTAGAACAGCATGAGCGTCCGTCGTCATCGCGCATGGCATGCGGCCTACGGGCTGGAAGCGCACGGTCGACGTGAGCGCGTCGACAAGTGCGCTCAGCACGGCGCCGATCGACGCGGCTGCGAGGCCCCACGTGCTTGGGCCCATCCTGCGTCCGGCTTGCAGATCTTCAAGAGGTGCCAAAATATGGAAACCCTCTCAAAATGCATGTCGTGCACATGCGTTTTATAGGTATTTCTCCATCATTCAATAGACGCCCATGTCCGCGACGAGGTTTTTCTCTGGCACCAAAAACCTTGCGCTTCAGAGACGATAAATACACAGTGCATTCTAGGTACAGATAGATAGGATTGGTGGTACGACTAGGGCTTCTTGCCATCGTCGTCGTCGTCGTCGTCACTCCATTGCAGGCTCGTGTCGGTGTCGCCGTCGATGGCCTCGTCGCTGCAGTCCAAGTAGCTGCGCATCGCCGCAGCTCGCAGCGTCTCGCCTTGTGCCTCAACGTCGGCCAATTTGGACTTGTACAGGTAGCGGGCGTGCGTGGGATGGCATTCACCAAAGCGCAGAGCCGCTGTCGCGTACTGACAGCGGGAAGCATCGAGCTCGTCACTGGCAGCGTCGTCGTCCGCGCAGTCGTCCGCCGCTACGCGCGGACGCTTGGCGTCGACGGCGTCGACCATCGGGCAGGCGCGCTTGGCGCAGACAGCGTCGGGAGTCGGGCAGGCGCGTGTGGTGTCAAGCATCTTTGTTGGCAAATGGCGAAGTGAGCAACAACCTGCCAGCGCCGAACCCGCCCCGTGTCGCAGTCCCGACACTTGACATTTCATACTCCCACTTGATACTTTATCAAGCTCCGAAGCATACAAACTGGCATACAAACCCAGAGACATCGAGGTATCAGAGCTGCGACATGCACGTCGACCAAGCACGAGCGCTGTGTATTTCTCAGCTATTTCCCAAGTTGCATCCACATTCTCAAAAATGCCCCAATTATATCTAGACACGCAACATAAAATAAAAATGACGCCTTGGCCAATCCGAAGCGTCCTGAGGGTTGTAAATATCTGGGTTTTTGTAAAGAGGAAACTTTAAATACTTTTTAACAAATTGATTGAATACAGAAACCTTTGAGACATACGCCCGGCTCGAATCTGGTCGGGATTGTGGGCTCAAGTTGGGCTCTTGCGCGTGGTTGTGAGCTGCCAAGAAGTGCCAGACTGCAATCGCCTGCAGAGCAAGCTGAGTCAGCCCGCTAGCGCTCTCCACGCCGAGCGGAGTGGATTCAGATGTGGCAAATTGGGTGCGATTAGCACGAGCGGGGCCTTGAACCTGCTTGTATCCGGACGTCGGCGGCGAAACCGCCACGAGAAAATGGCGTGTTTTTAGCAGTCGGCGATGAACGACGTCTTGGTCCCTGCGCGCTTTGTCCTTACGATGGGCCACCTCATGCTCACGGGCATGGCATGGCGAAGTCGGGTACATGCTGCATCCTAGCATGGCTCATGTGGTCTCAGGCGCGCAACGTCTTTGCCGCGTTGCCGCCGCTGGCCAACGTGACAACGTCCCACTTGGCGTCGCTGGCCACAGCCTCGGTCGAGGTCTGCTGGAACGGCAGCGCGGCCATGGCGGCTAATGGACCTTCATGTAGACGGCGTGGGTCTTTGCATTGCTGGGGTTTGCCGTGAGCCTCGGCGGCCTCGTGCAAGGCGCGTCGGGCTGCAGCTCCATCGTACGACGACGCTTTCTTCGCCTGCGATCTCATGGCGCCCATCGGTCTAGGCCAATGCGACGCAGATCGTCGCGCAGTTTGTCGGGAGTCTCATGCTGTCGCGATTCCTCCGTGACGAGCTCCACTACGTCTACCTCTGGTGCGTCCACGTCGCTTGCGCTCGCATCCTCAACGACCTAGGTACATGGTTGCTGTCGTGCACGTGCCGGGCCTCGTGCTCGAGGTCGGCTGCTCATACTGGCGCAAGCGGTAGCCACAAGTAGGTTACAGAGGAAGAAGCAAGCTGCATTGCACTATAAAATTATACGTCCATCCATCACCTTAGGCGTTGAGCTTCTTCATCAAGTTGAGGGCCGAGCCGTGCTTGAACCAGTCGATCTGCTCGTCGTTGAACGTGTGGTTGACCGTGATGTCAAAGGCCGCGCCCGACGCCGGCGTGACACGGAGCGTCAACGGCGAACCCGGCGCAAACTTGTCGAGGCCGACGATCGAGATCTTGTCGTTGCCCGTAATCTTGTCATAGTCGGCCGGGTTGGCAAACGTGAGCGGAAGCATGCCCTGCTTCTTGAGGTTCGTCTCGTGAATACGAGCAAACGACTTGACAATGACGGCGCGGCCGCCGAGGTGGCGGGGCTCAAGCGCAGCGTGCTCGCGCGACGAGCCTTCGCCATAGTTCTCGTCACCGACCACGACCCACGAGATACCCGCAGCCTTGTAGTCGCGGGCCGTGTCCGGGACCTTGCCCCACACGCCCGTGTGCTGGTTGACGATTTCGTTCGTCTTGTCGTTCTCAGCGTTGACAGCGCCGATCAACATGTTGTTCGAGATGTTGTTGAGGTGGCCACGGTACTTGAGCCACGGGCCGGCCATCGAAATGTGGTCGGTCGTGCACTTGCCCTTGGCCTTGATCAGCACCGGCATGTTGAGCATGTCCTCGCCGTTCCACGCGTCAAAGGGCTCGAGGAGCGCAAGGCGGTCCGAGGTCGGGCTGACCTTGACCGTTAGCTTCGAGCCGTCGGCGGGCGGCGCCTGGAACGTGTCCTCGCCAGCGTCAAAGCCGCGGGGCGGGAGCTCCTTGCCGTGGGGCGCGTCAAACTTGAACTCCTTGCCGTTGGGGAGCGTGATCGAGTCGACGGCCGGGTCGAACGTCGTCGTGCCGGCAATCGAGCACACCGTGACCATCTCGGGCGAGGTCACAAAGGCGTGCGTCTCGGGGTTGCCGTCGGCGCGCTTGGCAAAGTTGCGGTTGTACGACGTCACAATCGAGTTCTTGACGCCCATCGGGACGTCCGTGCGGTTCCACTGACCAATGCACGGGCCGCAGGCGTTGGCGAGGACGGTACCGCCGGCTTCCTTGAAGGTATCCAAGATGCCGTCGCGCTGGATCGTGGCGCGGACCTGCTCCGAGCCGGGCGTGACAAAGTACGGGACCTTGAACTTGAGGCCCGCGGCCTTGGCCTGCTGCGTCAAGTCGGCGCAGCGCGACAAGTCCTCGTACGACGAGTTGGTGCACGAACCAATGAGACCCGCGCTGAGCTCCGTGGGCCAGCCGTTCTCGGCCGAGGCCGCGGCCATCGGCGCACCGGCAACGTTGGCGCGATCGGGGGTGAACGGGCCGTTGAGGAGGGGCTTGAGGTCGTCGAGGTTGATCTCAATGATCTGGTCGTACTGGGCACCGTCGTCGGCGCGGAGGTTGGCGGCGAACGAGCGGGCGGCCGAGGCAATGCCCGAGCGGTTCGTGGCGACGAGGTAGTCGGCCATGCGCTCCGTGAAGGGGAACGTCGAGCACGTGGCACCGATTTCAGCACCCATGTTACAGATCGTGCCCATGCCCGTGCACGAGATGGACTCGACACCGGGGCCGTAGTACTCGACGATCGCGCCGGTACCACCCTTGACGGTGAGGATGTCGGCGACCTTGAGGATGACGTCCTTGGGCGACGTCCAGCCCGAGAGCTTGCCCGTCAAGTGGACACCAATGACCTTGGGGGCCTTGAGCTCCCAGGGCATACCAGCCATGACATCGACGGCATCGGCACCACCGACACCGATGGCGCACATGCCAAGACCACCGGCGTTGACCGTGTGCGAGTCCGTACCAATCATGAGACCACCCGGGAACGCGTAGTTCTCGAGGACGATCTGGTGAATGATACCACTGCCGGGCTGCCAGAAACCAATGCCAAACTTGGCACCGGCCGACGAGAGGAAATCGTAGACCTCCTTGTTGACGATGTTGGCCGTGTTCAAGTCCTCAACCGATCCCTTCTCGGCCGTGATCAAGTGGTCGCAGTGGATCGTCGACGGGACGGCGGTCTTGGGGAGACCCGACGAGATGAACTGGAGCACCGCCATCTGAGCCGTGGCGTCCTGCATGGCCACGCGATCGGGGCGGAGCTTGAGGTACGTCTCACCGCGCTTGGGCACGCCAAAGTTGGCGTCGTCCAAGTGGCCGTAAATGATCTTCTCGGCCAACGTCAACGGCTTGTTGATGGTCTTGCGCACGATGGCAATGTTCTTCTCCATCTTGGCGTACGTCTCGTCGATCGTGGGGCTGCCGGCAGGGTCCAAGACCGAGAGCGGGGTCGAAGAGGCCGCACGCTACACACAAATCGCATTTAGCCCACCCATTCTGATCCAAATTGCACGCGGTTTGCATTGACGGCAACGTCAAGACCGCGCGCATAGGCCATGAGTGCGTACCGTGGCCATCGAGGAGGGCACCACGACCTGGCGGCGCGCCGAACGCGTCAACGCGGACAACATGTTGCTACTTGTCTTCTGGGCGTGAAAACGAACAATGCCTTCGCCGCACGTTTAATTAATTCCGCGGGATCCAATGATATTAATTTGCGGAATTCCACGCTGATCATTGCGCCGACGGTTTCGTCAACAGGGCGTCCCATGTATACAAACGCTCAGTGATTTCAAATCTTCCTCGTCCGGATCCGAATAAAAATACCGATGATTTTTATTGCAAAATTGAATAAAAATGCACCCGATTTGCCCACGAGCGGCTACAGTTCAACCCCACGAACGCCTGTATCCGGACTTCCGGATACGAAGCTCCAACAAGCAGCCAATCGCAGGCAAGGATGACAAATGGCGCATGAAGGATTCTTGACCAGTCATTAGGCGCCGCGCAATGCGATTGGTCGCTTCGAGGACCATCGCGCCGATGACGCGGACCGACGCAGGCGGCATGGTGGCGCCACCGGTGCAGATGGCGCCAACACCGACACCGACACCGTCGTCGACACCGACACCGACGTGCAATGCGGTGGCCGTCGCCGTCCCCACCGCACGTTTTTACAAAGTGCAATCTTGCGACATGGCCGTGGACACAAACCGGTCGAAGCTCGGATGGCGGCTTGGGAACTGGGTGGCGCCATCCGTATTGAAGAAGCCGGCGGACGACGCCGATGGCCGACGACGATGTTGCGAGGTCAAATCCCTGCAAGCGCATGCTGCATTCGACAGGCCTATGCACAGGACATGGTCGTGGCGACAGTGCATAGCTGTACCATGACCCAAGGCTGCGACGACCGAGATGCGAGCGCGCTTCGTCCGACAGAGGTGGAGCGGTCGAAATGGGTCAACTTCCTGTGCATGCAAGTGCTTGCATATACGAAGCCGTGGTCAACTTGACGGCGAGGCGAGAGCCCGACTCCGTGGCAAGCAGCGTCCATTTGCTGGCTACGGAATGCTGCAAGTAGCATCAACACGAGGCAGGTTCGCTGTGTATCGTGTAATTACGGCCAGAGCCACAGCATCGCGATACCTCAATCGACACAAGCTCTCGCGGTGGCGCTAGCCGAGTACTCGATGCCCTCCACCCGGCTTTTTCCCCAAGAAGCTCCATGACATGGAAGCCAAGCTCCGGTGGACCTTGGCCAGCACGGGCTTGTGAAGGTGGGCGAATGCTTCGGACGCCACGGAGACGCTTGCACCCTCGGCCGTGGGCAGGCGACAGCACAGTGACACCGCGCAGAGTCTTCCTCGGGTTCTCTCCTCGGTGGCGGTTGTGGACAACAGGTCAACGCCACATCATACATACACGGCGTCTTCGTCGTCATAAGTTCTTATTTGACGGGCCAACGAGATCCTTGGGCTACAGCGCGGACGGAAGGACCGTCACAAAGTTGCAGAAGTCGACAAACGTGGCGCGCGACCAAAAGTAAAACGCAACCGAGAGAAAGATCGAGATCGGGAGCGCCGGCAGCGCCTTGTGCAGCACCGAGAGAAGAAAGAGCGTACCGCCGAGCCCCTACGATCGTACCGGGATATCAGGATAGGATACATGGATCGTTGGATACCATGAGGATACAGAGAAAGCACACGACAAATGTGGAAAAGTCGTACATGGCCGCGCGCCCGACGAGCACCGAGTAAAAGATAAAGTCGCCGAGACCGAGCTTGATCGTATTGTCGTCTTCGGCTTCGGCCGCCCGCTCTTCACGGCGCGCGTTGCGAATGTCGATGGCCATTTGGACGTCGCAGGGCGTGCTGGCCGTGCCGCACGAGCACACGAGGTACTTGTGAAACATCGACGGCCACATGCGGTCTTGCTTGAGGAAGAATTTGGCCGCGACCTGCTCGACCTTCCACACGTCGTTGGGGCTATAGCGCTGGTAGAAGGCGCCGAGGAGCGCTTCAAACTCGGCCTCCGTCTCGCACGGATACGATTCGAATGGCTACGTTCACCTCGTCGTAAGCACACGTCCGAAGCAGCGCGAGCGTACCGTGTCGTCGACGACATGGTCGGCATGCGACGTCGAGAGCTCGATCGTATACGACGCTGTCGAGGGCTCGGCTGCAGGCTGGCGTGCAGCGGGTGGTGCGGGCGTCGACTTGACGGGCGCCGGTGGCTGCGGCGGACGCTGCTGTGGTTGTGGTTGTTGTCGTTGCTGCTGCTGCTGCTGTTGTTGCTCATCTTCTTGTTGGTGCTGCTGCTGGCGGCGGTTGCCGACACCGTCGCGGATCTGAGCTTCGTAGAGCAAACCCGGCATAGGCGCTTGCTTTTGCTCAATGAGGCCAATCTACTCCACGTTGAGTTCACACTTTTGAGATTGAGATGGACGTACAAGCACTTTGAGGGGGCCGCACGGGGTCAGCACCGCGCAGAGATCGTAGCAGGCAAACATAAAACAAAAGATCCACGTTGTCCACTACAGAAGCATCCATATGAGCCAAGTCCGGTGAACGCTTAGCAAAGGTACCTCGGGCCACATGGAGAACTGCCACGCGAGGATGACACTCACGAGCACGAGATAGGCGTTCTGCACGAGCTTTGGGATGCCCTGGAGAACGCGGTTGTCAGCGGCAACAAGCGCGGATCGAACCCTGTACCTTTTGGTAGAAGATGGCGGCGACGCCCACGAACGCAAAGTTGACCATGATAAAGAGAAAGGAGATCCAGTCGAGCGGCCAGTGAAGGCGGTCGTTGAACACTGTGTCGACGAGCTGGCCGCCCTCAAAGCCGAGGATCGCCGACGACGAAAACATAATGTAGCCCACGAGCAGCTACGCATGCGAGGGATACGTCGCTACCTTGCATGGCGTCGAGACCATACCTTCATGCAGTTGAACTTGTAGAGGAGCGCCATGCAAAAGGTGAGCACGGTCACAAACCCAATGACAACAAGCGCGTTCACGAGCGAGTGGCCGACAACCGTGCCCGTCTTGGCGCCTTGGACTTCGTTGTACACGAGGTACGTACTACGACCGTCGGTATGGCAACCAGCGAGCAAGCCAGAACTCTACCTCATCGACGCCTGCAACGCGGCGCTTCGAAAGTTGACGACGGCAACGCTACGTCATGGCCATGAGCGCCTGGGCGAGCCATAGCGATGGTACCTGGCGATGACCATGGTCACACAGACAGGCCAGAGCACGGCCCAGAACGAGTTGACGCCATGCATGAGGTCGCCGGCCGCCTCTTCGCGGGTCGCAGCGTCTTCGGCGCGCTGGCGCGCCTGCTCTTCCGGCGGCGTCGGCGTCGCAACCTCGCCGTACGTCGGTGGCACGGTCACGGCGATGACCCGGCCATCCTCGGCCATCAAGGCTGCGCGGTCGTTGTCGCGGCCGCCCGAGGGGCCCGTTACGACGTCACCGTACTGGGGCATCTTAGCAAACTGAATCCTGATTCGAACCTCGCGTCTACACTGGACGTTTGTATGAAAACACTTGAGAAAATTGAAAAAAATGAGCCGAATATTCCGACTTGCCAGCCGACAATCGCCCAACACCGGCCGCTGGACCCAAGCCGGCGCCAGTGGCCTCTGCGGAGCAGCCCATGTTGGCGCAAGCATCGCCATCCATACTGCAGCACATCGAGGACCATGCTCCTATAGGTAGTCTGAGCACGCGGCCATCGAGGTGCAGCGAAAGGGTGTCGGCGGGACGGTGCCATCGTGCGAGACGGGCGTCAAAGGCTCAACGAGCCGATAACGACCGCCCACGACACTGTCCTTCTCGCCGAGCCAGAGCCATGCGACAGAGGTGTTTGGAGGCGGGCGACTGCTGTAGTCTACGTCGTCTCCCGCTACGGCGGTCATGCAAGAGCGTCTGCGAGATGGTGCATGGTACTCCATGGCAGCGCGATTTCGTCTTGGACAAGCGCAGCACTCGCAGTAGCACGCGCAGTACAGGTGTAGAAGTTACTACGAGCCACGGCTAATGGCGCACCAGCTAACCGCGATGGCGTTGCATCATCGTTGTCATCCCGATCATCGCACTCGCTCCATCTAGAACGATCCTAGAGCGCAAGGCCGCAGAGGAGTCTGTCGACCAGGATTCCGTCGCCATAAAGCTGCAAGAGACATGTAGTAGGAGGCCACTTTGCTGTCTTGGGGAATCGGACCAAGAGGTGAAGATCATGATCAAGTTCCTGCGGAGAGCTGGTCCTAAAGCATCTTGATGAAAAGAAGTCTACAACCCTTGTTTTGATTGTGCTCGCTTCGGAGTGCACCTCGGATGGGAGTCGCGTCGCCAAGATCAACTCATCGGGCTCATCGCACGCTGACGGCGCGCGCTTTGTCGACTCATGTTCTCTCGGACGTCTTCTGGAGCTTGTCTGTCGCGTGTAAGCCCTCTGTGCTAGACAACACTGCAGCGCGAACGAGGTACGGGCGCATCGTCCTCGACTTGGTGGACGCTCTTCATCGACACTTGGCGACTCGTGTGGTTCGTTGGGACGGGCCTCCGTTCTCGGTGGTGTCAAGGGCGCAAGACCGGCATTGACAGCTCAGCGCAGGAGTTCGTGGAGCGCTGCGAGCGGCGTGGCAGCGCAGAGAGGAAGACCATGGCGTCGCCGGATGACGCGCAGCACTGGACGATGGCCATGAGGACGTGGCCGAGGACCGTCCGCGTCGCCACGGCCGGGCGCTTGGGACCGCACATCGCTGCTGGCCGAATGCGCGACTGGATCCTTTTCACTCTGAATCTCAATGTTGAAACTCAATCGGGTCGTAGATTTCTCAAAACACACTATTTGCGGGACATCAATACACTCGTGCGGCGATAGGTGATTAGGCCTTTGTCGACTAGAAAGCACTCGAGCAGCGATACCAGTATCAGTAGCGATGCTGGTCAAACAAGTCTGGTTCAATCAAGACGCCAGAATGCAAGTGAGATACTTACCCAGAGTTAGGAAGCTGTCAGGAGAGACGGCGCTCATCGATGGAGATGGGAGCCCCAGTCCCGCTTCCTCCTGATCGCCTTCAGGCTGCAGTGGCCATTGCAACGACAAGCTCATCCACGCGACTAGTTCCTAAGCGGGAAGGTCCTGCACAAGATACCCCGAAACCGCATCGAGAACCCCAAATGTCCATCAAAGCGACGGACATAAGTGTACATTTATGTTCTTTGGTCAAAGCAACGGTCTTTCACGCTGGCTAACCTAGGTTCGCGATGCTAGAGGGCGACTTGCTGATGCCAGCACGAACGCCTGACGCGAATGGAGGGACCTACTACCACTCACCAAGCCCATGAACAGCACCACGCAGGGTGTGTACAATATTTGTACATTTTTACAATAAATTGTATAATTGTACAATAAATTGGTTCGAATCCCGACACACAGGATCCAACCGACACCCCTTCAAGATACCTGTT